TTAAAAATTATATAAAATTAGGATAATAATAAAACTCTAGATTATAATTTAAATGAATAGTGCTTTATAATTCATAGATTGGAGAAACTAAAAATTAACTAACCTAAATTATTTAAGTTATTAACTTAATTGGAATTTATAAGTTATTTTTTATATATTAACCTTTGAGTTGGAGATAGATAACTAAAGTTAAAGAGTATATTAAAATTAAAAAGTCATATCATCTTGAATTTGGAATTAATAATCTTATTTAGTCCTGATATTAAATTTATTAAGATTATAAGATGGTGATAAGCAATATTGATATTCTAAATCATTAATTATGTACTCATAAAAAAAAAGAAAAAAAAAAAGAAAATGGAGTATATTCAAAAATTGATATCAGTTAAAAGCTTAGAGTCTAACTGCAATCTTACACTTGAAATTATAGGGGAAAAAATAAGAAAGATAATACAAATAATGGAAAACTATTGAGTTTTTAATTTTAACTACAACATATCTAATCTTTAATCTTACTTATTCAAAACAAAATATAGAAGTCAATAAATATATTCATAACAAGTAAATTCCAATCAAGCAATAATAAGAATGACTGGTTAGGATAATTATTAGTAGTTTAAAACTATATTTATAATTTTATTCATTTCTACTACTTCTAAACTGTGAGGTATTATCCTATATTTTAGTAATTTCAATTTTTTACTTTGGTTAATCATTTAATTAGAATTATAAAATCTTTATTTGCTTGAGAATAAGGAATAGTTTAAGCTATGGGGAATTTGACAACTATAAATTAGATAATATTTTATATACTTTATTTTTAGAGAAAATATATTATTTTAGTTATTTTTATGTAATAAAAATAAAAATAACACAAAAATTCTAAGAAGTCTGTAGCATGGTAACATCCGATAATTCCACGTTCTCTGCCACCTTCCATACCACTAAGGTGCCACAATTGGACATGGCAGCACCATGTATTCTAACTTCAAGCTCCATGATGGCAAAGTGATTAGCTTGGCAATGTCTTGTTCTCTGACTTCAAGAATCACGGCTTCACAATGTATAGTTCCTCAGTGCCATTTCTATCACTCGAGCACCGCAACGTTCAAAATTTAGTAGCAACGTGGTGTGACAACTGTAACTTATAATAGACATGAAGTATCAGTGAAGCGACATGACTGTTCACTAAATAACTAATCCATATCAACAAGCTCCATGGTGGTACAAAAGTTCCAGTGTCGAAGTATTAATTCATTTCAAGGGCACCACGCTGCCACTCTTTTAAGCGTCACAGTGCAAGTTGCCTATTTGTATTTTTCCTATAAATAGTAAAGTCATTTTGTTTATAAGAGAGTTCAACTACTTATATAATTTGAGTATATTTCAGGGTACTTCTCAAAATTTGTCATAGAGTGACACTGAGAGAATTCAGAGAAGTTCTTGATACAATCTTAAGAGTGTTTGGCTTATGTTACTATAAAGCAACTCTATAAGTTCAGGAGGAGTGTATAGGAGATGCATTGATCTAATCTAGTGATATCATTCCCCTTTATTCTTCTTTATTTCATAGTTTTAATGCAAATGAGTTTGCTTTCTCATTACTACATGTTAGGTTAAATTCTCTAATTTTGTATTAATGATGTAAGGAATGTGTCGAGTACTAATGAATTCTCTTATTCTTTAAATGATAAATGATATTTTCAATATTATATGTACTTCATTTAATGAACAGAGTGGCCATATGTGTAATTAAAATCAAATGTAATGTATAGCCTCGATAGAGGAATACAGGAACAAAGAGAAATATTGAGATAATATGTTTGCATGCCTAAGTAGTTGGCTTTACATGTTGAAATCTCAATATTCATGCGATGTTGATTTATGTTAAAAATGTTATTTTTTCCATGTTCATGAGCTTGAAATGTGTGATGACTAAGGGTGAATTATGGAAAATGAGGCAGATGTGAAAAAAAAGGAGAATTTTATGTGCAATAAAAATGAAGTTATAAGGGCCCTTTCATTCATATAAATGTACATAGACTGTATATTCTTCTATTTATCTTGAGCAGATGCAAGATGATCAAGTGGGGATATAGGTGAAAGTGAAATTATAAGGAGAATAGAGTTATATATAATTCTTTCATCTGCCTTAAACATATATGAGATGATCAAGTTGAGATATAAGGAGGCATCAATAAATGACAATATTATGTGATATGCTACTTCATATTATGTTGTATGTAATATTGTTTATGTGATATCATGTTCAATGAAATATTTATGTTATGAAATCATGTTCATGTGACACTGTGAAATGTATCTCTATTATGAAAGTCCTATTGACATAATGCCTGCATTGTTCATGTTATATATATGTATCTATAACATTTGTTGATGTTAAAAAAAGTTGTTAAATATATTGCACTACAAATAATAGGATAGTAGTAGGTTGTGGATGACTTATTAATAAAGTGGTTTACTCACTCTATGTATTGCAATTAGTTTTAGGAAAAGGCAAATCCCCCACTGAGTAGGGTGGATTGATAAAGATTGTTAATCAAATTATTCTTTAGGGGTAGGTATGTTTAGTGTGTATATATATATATATATATATATATATATATATATTATTTTTTCATTCATGAATATTCTTATATTTTGATGGAATGAAAGTGAAATCATGATTGATGTATATTATTCTTTTTAGAAGTTATTTGATGAATTTACATTTTGTTGTCCATGTATATTAGATTTTTATAGAATGGATCTGTATTGTATAATGAGGAAAATTGTGATGTGAGAAAAGAATTCTTCTAAATTAGGTCTTGAGAAATCATGAGTTTATTTTCATAACCTTAACATGATATGACCCGTCCAAGTGTAATGTGTTGTATTTGGTCGAGTTATGATAACCCTCATCGATAACTCAACACATTAGGAAAACAACTTTTACAATAGAAGTTCTAAGCCTTGGACATCTTAAGTCTCCCAAGAGAGGCATAAGCTATTATATGTCATTTTTTTATTATCTTAACTTATGTGCATTTTATGCTAGGTCCTTTATTTTCATCTAAGAACTCTATTATAAAAAAAGGGTGATGATATAAGGACATTTTTCTTGTATAAGAAAATTAATGATAAGAAATAAGGGGGAAGATCTTGTAAGGTATGACAAAAATATTATTTCAACTGTGTAAAATAGTCATATGAAGCTATACCATCTTAGTTAAGTCAAGTAGAGAATTTGATTTGATTAACCTCCCATAAAAACTAGGCTCCCTAAGATTAATTATACTCAATGATTTCTTCAAGAGACATTCTTAGTAAATAAAATATACCCAAGTTTTTATTTTCCTTTGTTAGAACCAAGAATTAACTATAATTTAAAGACTATTAATCAAATATGATAGTATATACTTTAAAATAGGTCAGCTTACAAGATAATGAGTGATTCACCTTTACGATGTGAGATGACTATATTTCTATATAACAATTTTATGTGATAATGATTTTTGAATAATCAAATAGTTGAGAGGAGAATGAAAGGGATAAAAGTGGTGTCATGCACTAATAAAGAGCATAGGAAAATATAGAAATGATTTAGTTAGGACTTGTTGAGTCATCATCCAGGGTTATCAAGCTTGAAGCTACTTAAATGTAAAGTAAGTCAGCCAAACAACTATAAGATGCTCTATTAGCAACTATGAGTCATGATACCCATGTTAGACAAAGAAGCTACACAACATTTTTTATTTCTTTTATTTTACACGTGTAACACATATATTGGCTATTATACTTCTGGCTACCTACTATGCCTATATATTTAGGCTGTACGTTATTTTCATTAATTAATAGAACTCTTTCATCTCTGTGAGCCTTCCTCTGTTCTTTCTTCTTTCCCGTTCTTGGCTTCATCTTCATAGAAGCTTTCAACCCAGAGTTAGCCTCATGACCTTAAATGGAGGATAAAAAACTCAGAATTCTTGTATAGACAGTTAATAGGCTGTGAATCTAAAAAGATGCAAGGTTTATTAGTTTAAACATATCTAAGAGAGGGGGAGGGGTAAATTGGGTATTTTAAACTCTTCAAACTTTTCTTGAGAAATATTCCATGGTATAAAATGAATAGTTATAAACTAAAAAATTCAATAAATGAAAAGTAAAGATAAAAGTATATGAACAAACAATAATTTTTATGTGATTTGATCGTAGTTTACATTCAAGCTTAGGTGTTTTTAACTCCTAGGATTTTTTGCACAACCCATAGTAAACAAAAATCATTACTCTATCCACGCATAGAAGCCTTTACAACAACACAATACTTTGGGATAACCTTTCTCCATCATGGCATGTTGAATCTTCTCCAAATATTGTTCTCAAGAACACCTAAACAATGCAAGAATAGTCAAGAGAAAATAAAATAGTATATAAAAAATGGGGGTTTTACATAACATTTTCCATGACCAATAAGAAATCAAACACATCAAACTTCAAAATAATGTAGATTATCATCTTAGCAAATAAGCATTTAGTCTCTCTCAATAGGCTGTACAAAACTCACTTGAAATGTTTTTGAAGAGTGGCTTGGTGGATGAAATTCTCGCATGTCTTTAGGTTTACGATGTGCACAAGCTTTTTTACCTAAAGCTATATGTTATCATTTATATTAGTGAACTAGGTTTTTTATGATTATATTAAATTAATTAAAAGAAGTATTCTCACATTTTTAATTGTAACCAATGTTAAAAAAATTATAAAAAAATTCACACATTATTGGGTCCAAAATGGCTAGAATAAATCATCAAATATTTTCAAAAATTTTCCTCTATCAAGGTTTAGAAAATTTTGCAATTGCCTATAAACTAGTCCTTGAAAACTCGTGAGAAATTGGTGGCGGCTAGGGTTTTCTCCTCCCGCCCTCGTCTCCTTCTGTCTGCTTTTCTCTTCGTCCTCCCTCCGACATCGCCGGAGGGAACTTTCTCCCCCCTCTCTGCATTATGGAAGGTACTCTTCCCTCCTCTGATTTCCCGCCTCTTGTTTCATCTCCTAGCAAGCAGAGTCGTGTTTTCTCCAAGAGCTGGAATAAAGTTTTTGAGCCATCAAATGCTACTGCGAATGCATTAAAATTTTCTCACTTTCCATCGGAACCGGATATCATCCCTTTCTCTGGGGAGAAGCTATCCAACGGTGGAGAGGATTGGAAGCTTTGCGTGGTTGGATACTCTATCGGAAGGCGGCCTTACTACGAAGCGTTGCTGTCTGCTGTTAAAAAAACTTGGAATTTGAAAGGTTCGGTTCAACTCCTTTCTCTAAATGATGGATTTTTTCTATTCCGTTTTTCTTGTGCCGAAGATTTCAACATGGTGTGGTCGAGAGGTGTTTGGATAATTTTGGGGAAGCCCTTTGTCCTCCAAAAATGGCATCTGAAATTCATTCCCAAAGGGGAAGAATTTGCATCTGTGCCTATTTGGGTGAAGATCCATGATCTCCCTCTTGCATGCTGGAACTCAGAGGGGATATCGAGGATTGCTAGCAAAATCGGCATACCGGTTGCTGCTGATAGCCTAACAGAGCAGAACACCAGACTTACCTTCGCCAGAATTTGTGTTCTAGTTGACTGTTCGGCTACTTATTCGGAGGAGATCCAGGTATCGTTAGATGGGGAAGTGGTAAGTTTGCGAGTGCAATATGAATGGCGCCCCTTTCCCTGTCAGCATTGTAAGTCCTTAATGCATTATTCATCTTCTTGCATGAAAAATCAGGAGAACAATCACAAGGATACAGGGAAAGATATTAGTAAAGAAACGAACATTAACAGAGGTAGGAGTACTAGCAGGAGGCCTCGTCTCAGGCACAATGTCACGTCTGATAATGTGGATAATCTTCAGGTTACTAATATTAGTAATCTGGAATCTATTAACCCTCAAAACTCTCATAGCATTCAAGAATCTCCTTCCTTGGTCATTGGACACCCTTTACAATATCAGCCTCATTCCCCTCCTCCTGGCATTTTAAAATCAAGAAATGAAGATATTATTCCAGAGCAGCCTCCTGTAAGGGATAATTCTCTTATGGGTAATCCTTTTAGTTTGGGAATTCCGAACCTTAACTCCCCAAATGAAGAAGTTACCTCCTCATAAAACAATCTCCAACCTCAGACCATTGCCGTTGGGAAGGATTTTGTCTCTCCCAATAAGTTTGACCTTTTAAATGAGGAGGGGGAGGTTACATAACCTTCTTCTACTTCGGTTGAAGCTTTAGAGAATGATGCTATATCTGTTGAAGAGGTTGGGAATGATAAAAATATGAAATTGTTGACTAAGCAGAGTAAAAACAAGAAGCGAATATAGCAAAAAAACCTGCTAAGGGGAAGCAGGGGAAAATGCCCCATCCTAAGCATTCTTCTTGATGACTCTTCCTCCATTGATCGGGGGTTCAACCGCCCGGACAAAGTGCTCTGCTTTAGGCGTCTTATTGAGTCTTTTAAACTTGATTTAGTTTGTATTCTGGAGATCAGGATTCACATCCACTCTCTTGATGACTCGTTTTTTACTTACGCTCACAAGCTCTTTTTGAATGAGGATAGTTGCAACAATTTTGCTCTCTCCAACTCTGGGAGAATCTGGGTGAAGTGGAACTCTTCTAAACTCACTTTCACTCCTGTAGTCACTACTTCTCAAATGATCTCTGGTTTCATCTCTGTATCTAATCAATCTCTTTTTCAGCTTTCTGTTGTATATGCGTCTAATTGCTCCACAGATCGTAAATCTATGTGGAATGACCTTACTCTTGCTGGTCCGGCTGAAAATGCTCCTTGGGCGGTTATAGGCGACTTTAACTGTTGCAGATATGCAACATATAAGCTGGGTGGCGCCCAACTCTCTCATACTGTTCTCAAAGACTTCAATGAATGTATTTTTCTCAATGGGCTGGAGGATCTTCATTCTGTTGGATGCAATTTCACTTGGTTTAATCAACGTGTGGACAACCCCATCCACATCAAATTGGATAGAGTGCTGGTTAATAATTGTTGGCTGAATCAATTCCCTGAGTTTTTCTGTTCCATCCAAAATCCTTCCTGCTCTGATCACTGCCCTGTAATTTTGCATCAGGGAAGCTCTTTCAAGGTTTTCCACCGCTTTCTCTTCAAAAACTATTGGACTAAGGTGGATAAGTATTGGGCTTTGTTACTTGAGGTTTTTTCCAGGCCTAGCTCCGGGAACCCGTTATCTCATTTTTGCCTATCTCTCAGGCAATTAAAAAAAGACATCAAATTGGAGTGTTGGTCTTCCTATAACAGTGTTTCTAAGCACATTGAGGATCTCAACTCCAAGCAAAGCTTTCTTTTGGAGCAATTAACTCTAGATCACAGTAACGTTGAGCTTAACAATGCTTATAAATCCTGTAGCATCAAGTTGGTTTAACTTCAACAATCTTCTAGCCTCTTGGATCATTCAACGGGCTAAGGTTAATTGGCTGAAATTTGGCGAAGATGATTTAAAATTCTTGTATGCTAAGATTAGAAGTAGAATGGGGAGTAGAAAGTCTGTCATTAATCTTCTCAATTCATACCCTACCTCTAACAGATCCAATGTGATTGACTCTATCATTCAATACTTTCAAAAGCTATATAATCCTCCTATCTCTCCTTTGCTGGGAGTGGAGAATCTTCCCATTGGTGTTTAGGTCCCTCAAAGCTTTCACAATTCCATGATTTCTCCTATATTAGATGATGAAATCAAGGCAGCGGTTTTCATGGGCTCTTCTACTTCTGCTCCCAGACCTGATGGCTACAATTTTCATTTTTATAAGACTTCTTGGCATATCATTGGGCCGACTGTTTGTAGAGATGTACACTCCTTTTTTACTAAATGTTATATGCCAAATGGAGTGAAAGCTACTGCTCTAGCCGTTATTCCTAAACATTATAATGCCGCCAACATTTCAGAATACAGACCTATTGCTCTTTGCAATGTTTTATATAAAGTTATTGCTAAAATCATAGCTATGAGGATTAAGCCGATCATGAGCTCTATTGTGAAAGACAACCAAGCTGGGTTCCTCAAATCTAGAGTTTCTACTGATAACATCTTACTTGCCTCAGATATTTTATTTCATGTGGGGAAAAAAGGGAAAGAGAAACATTTTTGTGCTAAGTTAGACATTAAAAAGGCTTTTGACTCTGTCTCCAGGGAATTCCTTATTGCCAGACTTTATCAGAAAAATTTCCCTAGCCGCTTTGTTAACTGGATCAAAGCCTGCATTTTTTATGTCAATTTTTCTGTTATTATTAATGGCGCTCTTGAGGGTTACTTTCCATCTTCTTCTGGTATTAGAAAGGGATGCCCTATGAGTCCCTATCTTTTTTGTATTGTTATGGATGCATTCTCCAACCTTTTAGAAGCCATGGGTTTTAAGGGAATTACTTGTAATGGTTTCTCAATATCCCACCTGCTTTACGCTGATGATGTCCTCATTTTTGGGGAAGCCTCTCTTGAGAATTGTGGTAAGCTGGTGACTATACTTAATGAGTTTGCTGGTATGACGGGTCTTCACGTTAATTATGACAAAAGCATCATCATGTTCCCTAAGCATGTGCAGAATCAGATTGACTTTTGTAATGCTCTTTCTATTCATAACATCACTAGCAAGATCTCTTACCTGGGTATTCCCCTATCGTTCTATAGGCTTAAAATTGAGGATTATATGCCTTTAATGGATTGTATTAACATGAAATTCACTGGTTGGAAGGCCACACTCCTTTCCTTTGCAGGAAGGTTACAATATCTGAAATTCACAATTCAAAATACCATAACATATTGGATAAGGGGGGCTATTCTGCCCAAAGCTGTTCACAAATTTATTAAGAAATCTAGCTCTCGATTTCTGTTTTTTTGGGATGTTAAAGCGGACAAGAAGCTTCACATGATTGCTTGGGATAAAGTTTGTCTTTCTTACTCTAAAGGAGGCTTGGGATTAACTTCTATTCCAGCATTGCAATTTTCTTTTAATTGCTCAGTGATTCTGCGGCTTTATAACAACTCTTCTCCTTTATCCTCCTGGGTGTTTAGTAGATATAAATCACCCTGGAGGCCTCCGCCGGCTGCTGCTTCCAGGGTCTGAAAATCTATTTGCTATACGGCTATTGCTGCTAAACACTGTTTCAAATTTAAAATGGTTAAAGGTGCTCCTATTTCTCTTAAATGGGATCACTGGATTGGTGGTAGCAACTTTTGTGATCTTTTTGGTGTTGATTTTTTGGCTAGTATACCTGACGTTGCTTTATCTCATTTTATTTCTGATGCTGGGTGGGTTTTACCTGACTATTTCTCTTCCAATTTACAAGTTGTTTTTTCGGGTATTAATGCAAGTGAGGGTGAGGGGGCCCTGCCTGCTATGGTATGACAAGGAGAAGAGCAAATTTAAAAACTATATGGTGGAATTTCACTCGGATAGAATGGAATGTAGCTGGTCTAACATGATATGGCATAAAAGAAATGCTTTAAAATTTTCTGTGTTTGCTTGGTTGGCCAATGTCGGGGGGCTAAAAACTGCTGATGCTCTTCATGTTAGACATATTATGGTCTCGCTATTATGCCGCCTTTGCCATACCGCTGATGAATCGGTTTCCCATCTATTCTTTGAATGTCAATACTCCTTCTCTATACTCTCTGGCATTATTTTCGGTATGAGTACCTTTCTCTTAAGGCCGAATATTTCTCAGGTGTATGACTGGATTAATGGGAAGCATAATGAAAACTCGGAGATTTCGTATTTTTATAAACTGGCTGTCTCATATATTATCTACTTTGTTTGGAAGGAAAGGAACAATAGAATTTTTGGGAATCATTACAAATGTCATACTTCTTTACTGTTATGTATCAAGAAAGCTATTTTGGAGAAGGTTTCGAAATGGAGAAATGCTATGGAATTTTTGGACATATTGTAAGCTGGATATGTTTGCTGAGGTTGCCTCGGGCCCTTACTGATATGCGTACCTGGACGATGATGAAACTCCCCTTACATGCCCTTGGATGGCCTATGTTATATGGGCAACCAGGGCTATGTAAGATCTGTAATTTGCCTATTATTAGTCTGAGTCCAAGTGTTTTTTGGCATGGGAGTTCTTTCCAGGCTCAGGTCCCATATGCTGCTGGTATTTGGATGTTTGAAGTATTCGCGCTTCACATCCTTCACGTCTCAGGTTCTGCTTGCTCAGCTGCTGCTTTCTTTCGGATCATTTTTGAGCTTCCAGCCACTAATTTTGGCTCTTTTTACTGTGTTTTTACATTGTATTGGGTGGTATAGTTGGGGCTTTTTGATTTTGTTCCACATAAGTTTTTGTTTTAGTTGCTTATGTTGGACTTTTTTCTTACTTGTAATCCTTTCTTACATGTAATTCTCTTAATCTTTTAATATATGGGCTTTGGCCCCAAATTTCCCAAAAAAAAAAAAAACTCGCTATATTATACCATATCTTGCAAAGAACTTTTAAACTTTGTGAAGGCCCGCAAAACGATTTTTACCAACCCACGTACTTTTACAAAGTCCTAGAAAATTTGAGTTTTCTTTATTTTCTATTTTTTCTTGCATACACTTGATTTAAAACAATCAGTCTTGATCAAGGTTCTGAAAATCGGACCGGACAACGAACCGGAAGAAGGAGAGGTTCACGGTTCGACCGGTCGAATCGGGGTCGAACCGGATGACGTAATAAATAATATTATTATTATAAATATTTAATAAAATTAACAAAATAAAGAAAGATAATAATCATATAATTTAATGTTCCATTTGAAAGCACTTTGGTGGCTTATTAACTGAGTTGACTGGTTGACAAATCCCCATGGATTAATGAGGTGGCCCACAAATAGTACCTAAATGACCATATGATAGTTTATAAAGCGTCATAATGGGTTAAGCCATTGGATAATGCAAAAATGGAGAGATTTAACCATGAATTTAAGTTTGACCAACTCAAACTTTATGTGATTTGACATTAAGAAAGTTTGAATGGATTTGATTTAAGTTTTGAGATGGGTTTGAGAGATTGAATGGGTTAGATAGGTCAAATGGGTTGAAGTGACCCATTTAAAACCTTAAAGGGTACTTAGGTCAACCTAGGTTGACTTGGTCAACTAGGTTGACCCAGGAGGTGGGTCAAGGTGAAAGTGCTCATATAACACTAAAAAGCGCTCTAATACCACTTGAAAGTTCATTAGGGATGTTAGGCCCTATTAACTAGCCAGAAGCTAATTAAGAGAGAGAGGTGAATTGATATTTAAAACAAACACAATCTTAAAACTAAAAACCAAGATTAACCACAAAGAAATCAACGATGTGGAAATTAAATGCGGAAGTAATAAAGGAAAGAACACACCATATTTATAGTGATTTGGTCAAACCTTGACCTATGTCCACTCCTTGGAGGCACCCTCCAAGTATTGCACTAAACTAAGTGTCTCTCCTTTAGCCACCACAGCTAGGCGGAGAAGCCCTTACAAAATAACTTCCACCTTCCCCGATGCGGCGGAGTCGCCGTGTCCTTTGACACTAAAGAGATCTTCTTCTTTGGTGAACTTCCCTCGAGACACGCCTTGAATCTGATGGTATTCAGGTGCAAGCTTGCCAGAGCAACCGTGTGGAACTTCCTCCACACTCCCTTGAGTCCCCCTCACAGGATCTTCTCCCTCTCTCAAACTCCACCCTTTCCACACTCCCTTTCAATCTCTCTCTTCAAGTTTCCCCCAAAAGAACGAAGTAACAAAGGCTACCAAAGACACTTACATAGTGTCATGTCATAGCTTAAATAAAAGATTTCAAAATGAGCTCATTAATATAAGTTGCTGACATTATCGTCCAGGACGATAGGTATATTGTCCTGTACGATCAGTACAATTTATGCCCAATCAGCCATGACGATTTGAGATGATCAGAAGAAATTTGTTCTTATCATTCCGGATGATAATATATCATCCTGGATGATCAGTATAAATTATGGAATATCATCCTGAACATCGCCCTGAAAATGAGCTATCTGATGTCCAATCGTCCAACGTATCGGCCTGGACGATTTTGCGATCGTCCAGGACGATTTGATTGTGCAATCAAGTCATAATTGCTTTCTTTAAATTTTAGAGAAATTTTGGAAAAATTGTCCTGGATCATCTTGGACGATATTTTATAGTCCTCGACGATCCACCTGGATGATGTCCAAAAATAAGTAATTCATAAATAGATCTGACAGCAGATTCTTTCTATTTTGAGCCTATCGTCCTGGCCGATACAAAATCGTCCAAGACGATGTGTTTTGCATAATGACAAATGCTTTAATGAGGATGCTCTAATTAGGGTTTCTACTTTTAAACAGATCGTCCAGGCCGATATAAATATCATCCCGAATGATGTTACCAAAAACAGTAAA